CCCAGAACTTCCTTGGATTAATTCCTGCTTGAACTAGAGCGTATGGTTTCAAAACCGTCCAATCTTGATTTAAAAATTAGTAAATTTCCCCCTTGGCTAATAACCCCTCACTGTTAAACAATTGCACCTTATTACTTGTCTGCATTTGGCTTCACCTTCCAGCCATTAGATCTTGTTACACCTTTGTCTGGCAACATGAAGAGCCGCCCTGTATCATGTTTCTGTTCTCCATGTAGGTACCTACAGACTGTGAGCAAGACACACCTTAACCTTCCCTTTGCAAAGCAAAAATAGACCCCAGGAGCTGACTCTGTCACTGTACAGCTTGTTTTCCAGTCCTTTAATCATTCTCACGGCTCTTCTCTCCAGTTTATCAACGCAATAGTCCAGCAGCGATTGGACCACTGCCAAATACAGAGGTAACACAACCTTCCTACTCCTTCTGGATATTCCCCTGTTTATACATCCAAGGACTGCATTAGCCCTTTAGGCCATGGCATTGCCCTGGGAGCTCATGTTCAGCTGATTATCCACCATGCCCCACAAGTCTTTTTTCAGCGAGTCCCTGCTTCCCACGAGACAGTGCCCCATCCTGCAAGTGTGTCCTACATTATTTGGCTCTAGAGTCACAACTCTGCATTTGGCCATATTAAAACATAAATTGTTTGCTTGCACCCAGCTCACCAAGCCACCCAGAGGCTCTCTGTCAGCAACCTATCCTCTTTGAGATTTACCACCCCCCTTTGCAGTTTGCCAACTTTATGGGTGATACTTTTTAGTTTTCTTCCAGCTCACTGATGAAAATCATGTGAAGTAGGGTAGGGCCAAGAATGGATCCTTGCAGGATCCCACCAGAAACATACCCGCTCAGTGATGGTTCCTCATTGTACAATTGTTGTGAGACCTGTCAGCTAGCCAGTTTTTAATCCATTTGTTTTGTGCCATACTGTTTTTGTGTTTGTTTGTTTTTTCAAATCATTTACCATCTGTCCCCCAGCTCCTGCTGAAGGTGTGCCTGGCAGTCTGGGTGCCCTTTGCAAGGTGGTTGGTGAGGGAGTGTTGTCTCCCTTCTCCTAGTGGTGCTGCAGTCTGAGTGGGAATCAGGAGCCTGGGGAGATGTCCTGGGGAACAGAGAGCCATCGCTTGATAGAGTCCCGCAATGAAAGAGACACAGCCCTGGCGGGCAGCAGGGGTACGGATGAGTAAAAATTAAAAAGGCCACTGTGCGCGAGCCCTCTTAGGCGCGGGGCTGATTCCGGGGAATCAGCCTAAAGCGGCCTTGCTCCTGGGCCACGTGTTCAACCCCAGGGCAGAGCGCAGGAGGGGAGCGGGATGCATTAGCTCCTGCCACCAGAGGGCTCTGGGTGCGGCGGAGGCTGGGGACGGGCAGGCTGCGCGGGCCCTTTAACTCGGTCTGCCAAGGAATCCGGGATATTTCAATTTGAGCTTCCTGGGTCAGACGCTGCTGCCGCCTCCATAGCTCCATTGTGAGCCGGGAGCTTGGGCTGAGCCGCTGCTGCTCCGCGGGGTGTGTGCGGGGAGAGCCCTTCCCTAGCGCCCCTCTGTGCCCAGCCGGGGGGACTTTCTGCGGGGGCTGGAACCAGCCCCTGGGGCAGCCCCGGGCTCTGCCGACCCACCCCTGAGCCGGAGCCTGCAGGTGAGGGGAGAGACCCGGGGGAAAGGGCTGGGGCCGGGCAGGAAAGTGACTCCGCACCAACTGCCCCTCCTCGCCCCAGCTCTGCTCCCGGGGGCGGGGTCTGCGAGTCCCAGAGCTGCTGCCCCCCCTGACCCCCCCCCCGGGCTCTGCCCCCCTGAGCTCCTGCAGGAGCCGAGCCAGCTTACAGTGACAAAGCTGTGTAGTTTCTTCCCTCCCCGGACCAACATAGCCATGCCGAGAAAACCCCCCAGGTAGACACAGCTATGCCGACAAAGTGTTTCTGTTGGCCCGGCTGTCGAGAGAAGTGGTGTTCCTGCACCGGAAGAAATACTCCTGCTGAGTCTACCCTAAAGGGCTATGCATTCTTAACTCTGCAGAGTAGACATGGCCGCAACAAAACAGCAACCAGAGCTCCTGTCCAGAGGGGGGAAGGAGAATGAAAGGGGGAAAGGAGAAGCAAGTGGGGAGAGAAGTTACAGGTGCATAAACCTGCCCAGGTCTGTTGACTTTAGATTCACTTCTCATTGCACAAGACAAGGACCCGAGGCAGGAAAAGTCAGTTCCTACCTCTGCCTGGTCCCTGCTACTGCCCTGGGTGACAATGTCAGGGGGAGCCCCAGTGCAGCTGCTTTGATTTTGTTCTTTTCTAGTATTTGGTTCTGGGAGCATTTAAATATATACCTCTACCCCAATATAATGTGACCCAATGTAACACGAATTCGGATATAACACGGTAAAGCAGTGTTCTGGGGGGGCTGGGCTGCACACTCCGGCGGATCAAAGCAAGTTTGATATAACGTGGTTTTACCTATAACGTGGTAAGAGTTTTTTGGCTCCTAAGCACAGCGTTATATTGGGGTAGAGGTGTATGTGTTGGTCGGTTGAGAAAAATGCCCCAGCGTTTTCGCAGTGTGACAGAATGCAGAACGTCTGTTTGCAGGGAAGGGGAAGGTGGTGAACCAGTGTGTGAAATTGTCTAAAGTCCCCGTCTGAAACCTTTCCTCTGCCCTTTTCACAGACAGGCTGGAAAATAACATCCAGGTTTCACTCCACATTTTCCCACTCTCCCTGGGGATAGTGAAGGGAAATGGCTGCAGTGTAACAGGCACAGGTAAGTGATTGTCAGGGAGTAAGTGTGTGTGTGTGGGATCCCTACCAGTGTCCCTGATTTCCTTCTCATGCCAGGGACTCTGTGTGCCCCTCCATTAAACTTAATAAAACCACCAACTTTTTCTCCTCAGGTAGTTAGTGTTTAGATACTGTTCTAGTTCCTTGATAGATGGGAGTCCTCTATTGAGCTAACAAACAAGTCCATTTTTTCCAAACATTCAGACATATTTACCCTTCCCCCCCCCATCTCCCCAGTAAATGAGTAGTTTAATGACAATCCCAGTGATTGCAGGCTGTGCAATCACTTTTCGTTTCACTTCCACTGGGTCTCTGGAGTCATTTCCTTTTCCACTCTATCCCTGGAGTTCCAGTCCCATCCGCATAACCAATTGTTATGTCTTTTGCTCTTTACACAACACAAAGAAACTTGTAGAAACCCCAGGCACAGTTGAGTTCCAAATAACCTTACTTATTTAACTAGTGCAGATATCCAAAGCCTAACTACATTCACTGCTGTTCTGACGTTTTTGGAGCTTTCTAAAACTAGAACATGACAAGGGATAACCAACTATTTATATGGACACTACATTCTCTTTAACGTGAAGCTAGAAGATGTGGGAAAGGCCCAGCAGGAAGAGTTAGAAATTGCCCACTATGAGGAAAGAAACCCCTGAACAGACAGCTATCAAAGACCTACTACCAACCTGCAGAACTCCGAAGCCAAGAGTCACTCCAGAAAGTTATGAGTCAGGCATAGATTCATAAGTTCTGAGCCCATAATGGACCATTGTGATCATCTAGTCAGTCCTTCTGAATAACGCAGGGCATAGGACTTTCCGGTATTAATTTCTGATTGAAATAGAGTGGCTCTTTTAAAAATACATCCAATCTTGATTTTAAAATTTCCAGTGATGGAGAATCCACTGTAACCCTTGATAAGTTTTTCCCAATGTTTAATTACTCTCTCTCTGGTAGAAAGTTTGCACCTAATTTTAGTCTGAATTTCTATTGCTTCAGCTTCCAGCCACTGTATCTTGTTGTACTTTTGTCTGCTAGATTGAAGAGCCCATTATCAAACTTCTGTTCCCCATATGAGTACTTGTAGATGGGGATCACGTCACCACTTAATTATTTGTTTGATAAGCTAAATGGCTTGAGCTCCTTGTGTCTATCACTGTAAGGCAGGTTTTTCAATCCTTTAATCATTCTTGTGGTTCTTTGAGCCCTTTCCAATTGTACAGCATCATTCTTGAATTGTGGATACTAGAACGGGACATAGTAGTCAAGTAGCAGTTGCACCAGTAACACACAGAGAGGTAATATAATTTATCCATTCCTACTCAAGTTTCCCCAGTTTATACATTGAAAGGGCTAATGTGATGCTTCAGGTACAGCGTCACACTGGGAACTCACGTTCAGTTGATTATCTACCTTGAGCCTCAGATCTTTATCCTGGGAAGCAGTGACTCTGAAAGAGTATCCCATTTTGCAAATACCGCCTGCTTTGTTCCTAGATGTGGGAGTTTATATGGGGTGTAGAGAAACGCATCTTGTTGGCCAACATTCAGTTTACCAAGTGATCCAAATCTCTGTAAAATGACCAGTCCTCTTTATTATTTATCACTCTTCCAGTCTTTGTGTCTTCTGCAAACTTTATCAATAATGATTTTGCTTTCTTCCAGGTCATTGATAAAAATGTTGTTACAAGAGTTGGCTTTTGTTGAATGACTTGCAGAAGTCAAGTATACAACATTAACATGGTTAACTTGATCAATCAAACTTGTAATCCTCAAATAAATCCTAAGTTTGACAAGATCTATTTTTCATAAATCCATGTTGATGGACATTAATTATATTACCCTCCTCTAATTCTGTAGAAATCAATTCCCACATCAGTTGTTACATTATTTTTCCTAGGACTGATGTCAGCCTGACAGGCCTATAATTACCCAGGTCATCCCATTTACCCTTTTAAAATATTGGCACAAAATTAGTTTCCTTCCAGTCCTTTGGAACTTCTCCACTGTTCCAAGCTTTTAAAAAAAAAAAAAAAAAAAA